GGACTCAGCCATAAGGGAAGTCCAAAAAGCCGACATGAAGCGAGTATCTCGGTCGCTCACTATGTCTTCCGGAACACCCTGGCTGGTAATCCAACCAGTGTGCAAGAGTCGTGCGAGCTCAGGCGCTGCAGCGTGATACTTGCAAGGAAGGAAGCGAGCATACTTGCTCAAACGGTCAATGACCGTGAGAATACCGTCATGGCCATGGCGATCGCGGGGGAACGGGCTTGTTACGTCCATAGCAATGGAGAGGCGCGGTGCCCGAGGAATCAGCAACGGTTTCAGTTCGCCGAAGGGGACTCGAGATCGACCCTTATTACGGTGGCAAACTGCACATGACTCAATGTACCTCGTGACGTCATGAAGGATGTCGGGCCAGTGAAAACGCTGGCGGAGGCGTGCTAATGTGTGGTTCACGCCAAGGTGTGCCGAAAGTCGTGCGTCGTGGAATTCGCCGAGAAGACGAGTCCGTAAGATGCGATCTTGGGGCACAACTAACAAGTCCTTTCCTCTCGTGTGAAGGAGAAGGAACCCGTCGGAAATCCGATAGTGGCTAGCCGGCGGTTGATCCGATGAAAGCTCCGCGTAAAGCGTAGAGTAAGTCGGATCCGACTTGTAGCCTTTGACGAAATGCGGCTGCAGATCGTCATCGAGGTCGAATGTCGTGGTCACAATGGCACAAAAATCGGGCCATCGTGAGAGGGCGTCCGCATCTCGATTGGCGGGACCGGGAATGTGGCATGGGTCAAAGTCGAACTGGTCAATGTGATACATCCATCGACCGATCGTGTTAGTGACCGTATCCTGCGTTTTGTAAAAGGTCAACGGATTGTTGTCCGTATTCCATTTAAAACGCCGACGGCCGAGAAGAAAGTGGCGCCACCGTTTGAGAACGGTGACGAACGCGAGTAGCTCTTTCTTCCTAGCGTCGTCGAGAGTGTTGACGAGAGGCACCTTTTGGGAGAAATACTCGACCGGATGCCTGCCGTCCTCGTGACACTGTTCCAACACCGCACCAATACCGTATCCCGAAGCGTCCATAGTCACTTGGGTGGGAAGGGTGGGGTCGTATATACGGAGGGCAGGTGCGGCTTGCATTGCTGCCTTCAACGTAATGAACGCGCCACGGGCTGCGTCGTCGAACTCGAAGGGCACCTTCGGGGACTGAAGTCTCGACAAAGGAGCGGCCACTTTCGAGTATGACTCGACGAATCGCTGATAATATCCAGCCAGACCCATGAAAGAGCGTACATCCGTTGTGGAACGGGATTCCGACCAATCCACGATGGCTTGGATCTTGTCTGCTAAGGGACGAATGCCTTTCGGCGTGACAAAATGACCCAAGTAGTCAAGCTCCTGCTTGGCGAACTCGCACTTGTCGAGATTCGCTTTGTACTTGGCCAGTCGCAAACGATCCAAAACAGCGCGAAGGTGTACGATGTGCTCGTCCAACGTCCTACTATAAACCAAAATGTCATCAAGGTAAATGAGGACGCTGCGATCGAGCAAGTCGTGAAACTTGGTCGTCATAGCTGCTTGGAAAGTCGCGGGGGCATTGGTGAGGCCAAATGGCATGACAACCCACTCAAAATGTTCGTACCACGTCTTGAACGCGGTCTTGTACCGATCTTGAGGCGGGATTTCAATCTGGTGGTAACTCGACTTCAAGTCCAACTTCGAGAAGTACGTCGCGCCGCCTAACCGCTCAAGGAGATCATCAATCCGAAGGAGAGGGTCGGCGTTCTTTACGGTTTGTGCGTTAAGTTTGCGATAATCGATGCATAACCGTAGATCTTTGTTCTTCTTCCAGACGAAGAGAACAGGGGCACCGTATGGCGAGCAACTAGGGCGAATCCAACCCTTGTCGAGAAGGTCATCGAGTTGTGCGCGAAGCACCTCGAGTTCCTCTTCACTCATGCGGTAGATACATCCACGCGGAGGGACGGCGCCAGCCTTGAGAGTGATCCCATGACGTATGGGCCGATCCGGAACCGTTCCGGTGGGAGCCTCGAAGACGTCTCCATACTCGTCCAAGAGGTGAATGATGCGTGGGTCCGGCGGTGACGCGGCTGGTCCGTCCGGCGAGGGGAGAGCATGCAAGAATACAAGGCCCATCTCCTCGACGTCATTCCGAGCTATGGCGTCGCGAATTCTCGCAACGGAAACCATGTGACAAGCAATCGAAGTGTGAGGGGTCGYGACCGTACATGGGACTAACACTCCGTTCCGATTACGGATGTGAACGGTTCGGTCATGAAAGTCCACCGGATGATCGGCGCTACGCAACCAAGACATGCCTAGAATCATGTCGAACTTGGTGTCGAGGATCTCAAAAGACACCGGCTAGCACGCAAGTGGCGCAAAGTATACCGGAACGTCGTCGACGCATCGGTCAATCGACTTTTGCGTGCGGCCGTCCGCGAGTGTAACTTGCGTGGGTTGCGTCTTCCTTCGAACGCGCGGGCCAAGGCCTGCGCGGGCCATAAAGGCTTGGCTCATAAAGTTGCGAGACGCTCCGCAATCAATCTAGGCACTACAGGTTGCCTTTCCGATTTGAATGCGGATATAGAGCAAAGGAGCGTCGGTTTCAGCGTACCTTTGGGTGGCGTGCTCGCGGTCAATCTTCGCAAGATAGGAGCGGAGATCGACAACCGCTACCCCGTCATCCGTCAACGGAGCTGGTACTGTAGTGTGCAAATAGGAGCGTAGATTTGCCATCAAGGCGTTGCAATGCGGCTTTGGCAAGGTTCCGGTTGAGGGTAGAGGCATCCAAGCGAAGTCCTCTCTCATGAGCGGGTCAAGCTCCTCAAGTCTTGACCACACCGTCGAGTCCTCGGAAATCAGTGGCGAACTGACCGGATCACTTGCCGACGGTGTACAGGTTGCGCGTACGCAATCTAAGTGCACGTGGCTCGGCTGGTCTAATGGTGGTACCAGCTGGGCGGCATAATCCTCGTACGTAGCACGAGAATCACCAACTAACCCATGCTCCCCGGTAGTGACATCCATTGCTAGCAAGGCAACCGGGTCCGGCGGAGTGAGAAGAAACATCGCCCCTCTCCTTGCGTAACTCAGTTTCCCGAGTTAGCTGGACGGGGTACGCGTGCCTTGCCCTTTTCGGGGCATTGTGCGGTCAAGTTTGTGACTCCATTGCACCAAAGGCAATATCCGTACCGTTGATGAAGGTCATAGACTTCCTTGTTTATCTTGTATGTCGTCCATGGCTACTGCCCAGTTCCTGTCGATGTCGTCTCTTGTGTCGCCTTGTTCTTCCGAACTCTCTTGGGACGCTTCGGCGAGAGCGCTGCTACACGTCCTCCATCACTCGAGGATGCTGCTGCAGCGTGGAGATCGACTGTTTCTTCAGAAATCACGGCATTGTTATGTGTCGGTCGTTGATAGCCCTGCTTAGCCACATAATGCGGCTGGGACTGCCGTTCGTTTGCGGCCTTGTCATCCGTTTGGATGACCAAGTTCGCACGATCCAGGATGGCTTGGAATGAGGCGTAATCGTACTCGTTGCTGAGTGCGGTTCGCAGTCCTGCGCACCATCGTGAGAAGAACTCGGATCGTTGGTTAAGAAAACTCGAATCGAAGCCTGGCATGGTCACTATCTTTTGCCACTTGGTTGTCCAGTCTCGAGTTGGCATACTCCCTTGCGAGCAGGTGTATACCTCGTTCATGGCCGCCTTCACGACGTTGCGGACCATGAAGCGAGTGAACCACAGTTGCTCAAACTCCTTCCACGTGATGTGCGTGTGGAGTTCGGCGATGGTGCATTTCTTGGTAGCCGCCAGATGGTTCATCCATGCCTGCGATCCTCCAATCAGTTGTAAGTAGAGCGCCTTCATCATGTCGTCAGTCGGGACAGTGCGGCATGAAGCTTATGTGAGGAAACTTTGCCACCACAAAGATCATGCCTTGGAGTAGCGTTGTCCACTGATTTTCACTTTGAATCAGGGACTCCGTGCTGGCGGCATTCCGTCTGTCTCGTGCCGCTACGTCAGCCTCAGCAGTCTGCTGAGCTTGGGCTGCCGCCTCATTGGCCAGCCGCTGACGTTCTGCCTCTGCTGCCTCCTGCTGAGCCTTGGCGGTAGCTACGACATCCGTGAATACCTGTAGCCGCCCAAGGTAGTCAGCCAACGGTTCAAGGGTCCCTTGGACCGAACATGCGGGAAGAACTCCGGTGGTAACCGGTACTGTCAGTGCTGTACTCGATGCCGCTGGAGTTGTCCGCTTGCTGAGTCGCTGTTGCTGATACTTGGTTCGTGGAGGTACCACAGAACGGCTACGAACTGCAAGCCTGGCACTACGTCGTGGAAGTGCCCCGGTGTCCTGTTCCGTCGACATCAGCTCTAGCTGATGTGGTACTTGAGAAATCCCGGTGGTCACAGATTACGGGGAGGGTAGGGAGAGTGGGAACAGGGGTAGAACAATCAAGCACTTTGCATACAGTCCCTGTCCCACTGATGGACTTTAGACACCTAATCAAACAAAAAAAGATAAATTTTCCCGTAAACAACTCAAAAATTCGTAATAAGAAAATAATAACGAATTATTTATCAATAAAGTTTAATTAATGATTAATAGCGAATTAATAATTCTTAATAATAATCAATAAAACAATAATTGCAATAATGATAATTAATGAATTTGAATTGTAACAAGATTAGGTATCTGTTGAGATCATCTGAGGTCCGGGAGTTCACCGTTAATTAGTGAACTACCCAGAAGCTGCAATCACGAGGGCAAAGATTCGGGTCAGGTTGCCCCAAAAAAATTTCGGAAATGAGGGAGAAAAACACTCGAATTTCTGAAAACGTGAAATTTCGAGAATTTCAACCTACAAAATCCGATTTTTAAAAGGCCTAGGTCCGTTTTCGGAATTTCTCAAACTTAGGGAAAGAAAAAAAAAAAAATCGCGAAAATTTCGGATCCAACCCTAATTTTTTGCGATTCCGCGGAATTTCCAGTATTACGGATCAAAACGTTCGAATTTCCCAAGTTGATTGAAAAAACAAAAATTTTCATAACCCTAATTTCCAATACCGAAATAAAACAGAAATACTGAATTGCAAAAACGAAATAATGGATCAAAATCATAATGCCGAGTTAAAAGCGGAATACCGAATTGAAATCAGAATGCCGAATTAAACAGAATACTGATTTAACCTAATAATGAATTTGAATCAGAAATCCGAATTAAACAGCATATCGGATTACCCAGAATACCAATTTATCGGGAATCGAATTGAACAGAATACCGATGGAAAATGAAATTCCGATTTGAAAGTCAGAATACCGAATTGAAACGGAATGCCGAATTAAACAAAATACCGAGAAAAGAAAAAAAATTGCAACTTTGAATCTCGATAGTAATACAGAGCTGATTGGGAAGATCGAAGAAGCAATCTATTCCTAATCAGACTTACCTTGTGAGCAGATCCGTGAAATGGTCTGCTCCGATACCAAAACTGTTACATACTCGTGAATGGATCAACGAGTATGGGGCAGAACCAAAGATCAACCAATATAGGAAGAGCATGTATGCAGCGGAAGTCTGATAAACGGACTGACTCACATAGACTGACTCACACAGATATCACTCCACACACATAAAATCGTGAGATGGTGGAGTCTGAGCCATGCATAGACGATGCTCAGGCCCCGTACACACATACACAGATGAAAGGTGGGAGGAGAGACGAAGGAGGTGGGGGAGGTAGACAGCACCGAAGGTCACTGAGATAGAATCCGATAGGTCACCGATATAGTAGTCCAAAATGTCATCAAACAAGATCAAAATGTCGAGGACAATAAGTCACCAATGTCGGAGATACAGAGTCCTAATGAAAACAGTGTCCGAACTGTGATGCCGCTGAGTATCAACCCCAACAATCTCCAAGTCTCGAATCCGGTAAGTACCACAGCCTCATACCACCGAAGTCCAACACTGATCTCTGTCCAACTAGTATAAGTCTCCAATCTGAAGAAGAAGAAGAAGAAGAAGAAGAAGAAGAAGAAGTCTGAAGAAAGAAGAAGAAGAAGAAGTCTGAAGGAAGAAGAAGAAGAAGAAGAAGAAAAGAGAGAGAGATATGGCAGAGGGGAAGAAGGAGGTGAGGAGGAGGGAACGGGACCGTGGAGGGAGGAGATGAGATCCTCGCCTCCTGGTACCTGCCCTGCTGCTGTCGAGGCAGCTATGGCCGCCGTGCTGCTGCTGGTCTCCTCGCTCGCTGCTGCTGCTCTCCGCTCCTGCGCTCAAAATAGCGCTGCCTCTCCCAACCGATACGCACCGGCATACTGCTGGTGGCTCGATGCCTCGAAGTGAGGCCGGAACAGTACTAAGTACTGGTTCGAAGAAGACCGGCCTCAATGCTGCGAGGCCTCGGTTGGGTCCGAATCGTCCAGATTGACGATTCAGATCCGACCGGAGAACGGCAGCCTCAAAGGCGTCGCCAGGCCCAAAACGAAAATGTCGTTTGGGCTTGGTCCGTCGGTCTGGTCCAAGTCGTGGCCTTTCGGCCTGATAATCCCCCAAGGTCGGGCCTTTAGGCCCTAATGTGTCCCTCTAGCCCTAAGTCGGGTCCGGTAGGACCCGTGTGGCGTCGAAGATGTAACAGTCCACACGTTGAGGCATTGGCAAGAGCAGCCTCCTGGACGGGCCAGCACTATATAGGACTGGCCCGCCCTGCAGGCCGGTAGGTAGTTCATAGGTACTTTCCAGGCATGTCACGTGCAGTTCAGGAGGCAGGAGGTAGTCTTCATGACTCGGCAACAGCACTCTGGAGGAGCATTGCAGGAGTAGTATTAGCGCTAGCAGTAGTCTTCAGCGTTGGGCGCTTTGTAGCGTTAGCAGTAGTCTTCAACTCCGGGCGCCATAGCTAGAGTAGTACCATAGAGAGAGAGATTGGGCGGAGGCCAGAGGGACTTAGCAGTAGTCTTCAGCGCTGGGCGCCATAGCAGTTAGAGTAGTACTAGAGAGAGAGAGGTTGGGCGGAGGCCAGAGGGACTTACCTGCAGCGCCATCGCTCCAGCTTCGTCTTCAAGGTACCTGCAGCACAGC